ACTTATTTTGTTATGATTTATATTTTAAAATCTGGAAGGCTCACGTATATTTTTTGAAAAAAAATGAAAAAAAAAAAAAAAAATTTTTTGGGTCTATTTTCAATTTTAAAAAAAAAAAAAAAAAAAATTGTAAAAAGATAATTTGATTAATTATGAAACCAAAATTCCATTATTGTTAAAGGAGCCTAGTCAAAAGGAATATAAACCAGCAACAGATAAAGGACGACGAGACCAGCCATGCGTTTCGATTGAAGAACATATATTTAAAAGGTCATCTGCTAATGATATTTCAGCCCTATTAGTATTTAAACAATAGATTGACACTTTTTTTAATTTAATGTCACCATCCCCGTAAAAACTTTGAAGATTTAAAATTTTGTAAATTTTCTTTATTTGCGTTTTTTGGCATTGCCTTTCTCTACGCTAACATATAACTTTTTGACAAAATCAGAAATTCATTTTTTCTCTGCCATATCATCTTCTTAAATTCATTTATTGATCATCATCATAGTTTATTCGATTTTATATGGTACACTGCAAATTTCTCGTCTTTTTTAACTTTGTAAATTTTTCTTATCAAAAAAGTAATCTCATTGTCTGTCAAATTCACCTATGAAATTCTGCAGGTCTTCCAAATTTCCAAATCATTACGGGGAACGATAAATTTCAACGGGGAACGATGGTCCAATTATGTTGTTGTAACATTAGGGTATTCTTGGTGCTGTTTTGAACTTCATTTTTAAAAAAAAAACGAAATTTGACACAAATTTATAAAATAAATAATATATTTTATTTACTTTTCTTTAGAGGCATGAGTATTTTTTCATTATATTTTGATATTATATTACAAAAAAAATTTCGTTTGAATTTATTTTTTAAAATACAAAAAAATGCTTAAAACGTAATCTCTGTACACAGAATAGGGATTAATATTTAAATACACATAGGGCAACAATTTAACAGGAATTATCCACTTAAAACTATCAAAATCAATTACTAAATTTGAATCCAAACAAAATAGGAATGATCTTCTAATCTACATAACAAAAAAGAATAATGCTAGAATTTTGGGTTCTTTTTAAATTTAATTAAAAACATTCACAAACTTTCCCGTGTATTTTTAAAAAGATTTCAATATATAAATTGACAAGATATTTTAAAAATATATAAATTAAAATTATAAAATAAATTTAGACCAAAAAATACATACACTCTTTAATTTCCATCCAATTTTCTTTCACCACCTTACCAAGGGAATTTTCATGAAATCCTGAAATAAACCCTGATGTCAATCATTTTTGAACATATCAATGATAGCAGCTTTAAATTATTTTAAAGCATCCACTCAATTATTAAAACCACTGGCTTTAAATTCTGATAATTCAAATCTAGTATATTTGCTTTTCAGCCGAAATGCCAACATAAATAATTATGTGGGAGAAACAATAGAAATTTTCGACTTCGATTTAACAACCATAAGAAAACCATCAAAAAAAATAACAATAATTTACCAGTCACAAATCACTTCACTTTACCACATCATAACTCAGATGACATTGAATATTTGCTTTTGCCTTTCTTTGTTCAACATTTATTAAAGATTTGAGTCGTAGATTGTAAAAAATGAAATTTATTTTTGAAAATAAATTCAAACATTGAGGGATTTAAACAGAGATCTGGGTTTATATAAATAGATATAACTTCCACAGGGGACATCAGAATAACAACATTCCTTGGAAGAGTAAAAAGCCCAACTTCTTTGTTTGTTCCTCGTATCGTTGAAAAAGAACACAGGCGTGTTCGAAAATTCCGACTTTAAAATTCATCTCTTAGTGCCTCATTTTCTATCAAAAGGTTTATATGAAATAAATATAAATTTTATTGACAATATTGGCATATATATTTTTAACGTTCTCAATACAATTGTAATAACACAAAATATTAATAAATGAATTAACAATAATTTGTAGGCATTGTATAATGTTTAAACTTTATAATTTAGTTAAAAAAATTTTTTTTAAATTTTCGCATTACAATTACATATCCATTATTTTATTAGTATATAATAGCCCACATAATATTTTAAAATTCTTTGATTTTTCAAACTTAAATTTGCCATTCAGTATAATAAGTATCGCATTTTAAGTTCCGTGAATATGAAAAAAAAATTAATTATACTAGCGACCTCTTTAAACAGGTTTTGTAGTATAAAAAATTGAAATTCCTTAACATAATTTTTTTTTAAATATAATCTTGTGTAATGTAGAAATCTCATATAAACTTTGTTTTGCAACAAAAATTGTCTGCTGCCAGACGTAAAGTTTTTATAAAAGTATTAATTTATGTAGACACGAATTAATGACCCACCTCCCCATAACATGTGACCTATTTTTTGTATATATATTTTGTGTATATATATATATATTTTTATATATATATATATATATATATATATATATATATATATATATAAAATGTGTGTGTTTGTATATATATATATATATTGTGTATATATATATATATTATATATATATATCTATATATATATATATGTGTGTGTGTATATTCACGAATGTAATGAGAACGAAAATAATATATAAATTCTAACGTTCACAGCATTCATTCAAAAATTTAAGGCAATTACCGATAGTAGAATCCATAATTATTTATTATAATTTTTTCGTATAGACAAAATTTACTCACGACAAATATGCAATTTGGTTTCGGTGCATTTATTTGCATAGTGCCAGAAAGAAAAAAAAACCAAAATGGTTATCTTGAATACACCTCGACTGGTGAGAACAATTTTTTTAATTCTCACCAGTCGAGGTGCAAAAAATTAATTTACCGAAACCAAGTTGCATCTTTGTCGTGAGTATTTTTGCCTATATGAAAAAATTATACCATATATATATATATATATATATATATATATATATATATAAATTCTGTCTGAATTTCTGGGATGAAGAGTTACCGTTATTTACACTGTTTACAAGTGGGCTATTATCTTCATCTTTGTTGTTGTTATCACAACGTTTTGGCCTTTGTGTTCTCCGGCTTTCAGCATGTGTATATATTGATCTGAGTAATCTACAGTGTATTTTGAACTGAACCCGTTATTTAATCTGCAAGGGTAGACTGCTCTTGTTTCACTCACAATGTCTAGGGAGATCTCGCTTAGATCGTATTTTTACTACTGCTCAGTTATTTCTTACATGTTTCCTTGAGTTTCGACCGTTTTTCCTTCCGGCCTTCATCAGTTGTATATATCGATTTGGGTAACCTACAAGGAATTCCGAAATTAACCCTTTATTTAACCTACGAGTGTAAATTGTTCTCGTTACACTGCCCATGTTTAGGGATATCTCATCTGTTTGTTTATATTCAACTTCGCATAATAACAAATGACACCAATTCTTCAACATCAGTAGCGAATTTGGTAATATATTAGGTTGGTGCAAAATAATGACGTAATAATGTCGTTTTTTGATGTATTTTTAACGTCAAAAACGACATTATTACGTCATTATTTTAACCAACCAATATAATCCTTTGAAATATATATATATATATATATATATATATATATATATATATATATATATAATATATAATATATATATGAAATATATTATGAATATATTATAAATTATATCATGAATTATAATATAAATAATTATATTATATATGATTTAATATTAATATTATTATACAATTATTATTAATATTAATAATTATTTAATGATAATATTTAATAATATTTTAATAAAATTCTATATTTAATAATATTAGTAATTATTATTAATATTGTTATATTATTAATAAATATTATTATAATATGAATTATATATATATATATATATATATATATATGTATATATATTACAATGAATCATTAATACAAAAAGTAGATTAGTAAAGTTAATGATATAAAATGGCGAAATCCTTTCGCACACAAAATTTTAATTTTAAATTAACTTAAAAATCACTCGATGAATGTTATGATCCTTGTTTTTACAAATTATAAAATCTATAAGGTCTTTCTTTAATATGCTAGTACTTTCAACTGTACATTCAGTCATCTTCAGACATGGAAATTATTTTATTTTTGGTAAAATTCAGGTAGCATCCGAGCCGAAAATTTAAATGCGTATCGAAATATGTTTTTTTTTTTTTTTTAAATGTGTTATTGTTAACAGATACAATCTTTTGGAGCGTGCAGTCGCAAAGCTAAGGTTGAATTTTTTTTTGAAAATTTAAAAAAGTGCGTTTTTTTACTAATATGGCAATTTGAGAATTTTTGTTGTAGGAGTTTATCAGTCAATGTGGCATGAATTAAATTGTTCAATAAATAGAGTAATGTCTCAGTTGTTATCCCGAAAATTTGTACGTCGGATCGGTTCTTTTAAATCAAATATGTGGTGCAGTTCAATTTATATTACAATGAAAATAGTTATATAAACGCCCACCCGCGAGAGAAAGGTAGAAAACATGCAGTTATGTCTCGACCAGTGGCTGTAATGCCTTATTTCATTTCAGTACAATGAAATGATCAAGAGGATCTTTTGTTTTTACTAAGGTTTAGGGGGAACATATTTATCGCCTCCCCCTCCAAGACATTTCATATGGAAACCACTTTTCATCAACATTAAGTACACGATGGGCGACACGGCATGGGGTGATGATTAGTGTCCTACTCTAGTTACTATGGTGTAGGAGATACTTGACCATCATAAGGCATATCGAGAGCAAAAGGGACAGGGGAAAGCATGGGGCCGCCTACCCAAGGAACTTGGCGGCACATCGGGGTGGGAGTTTGGCAAAGGGAAAAACGTTTCTAAGTGTTACAAGGGATATATGGTCATGGAGAGTTCTGATCGGCCACACACTGAAGGATAACGGCACGTAGAAGAAGAAAAAAAAGAAGTTCTATAAACATTGTACTTCTTGTATCTTAATGTTTTGATATAAATAAATTAAACTTTTTTTTTTTTTACCTGTATCTCTTGCTGTTTGGCTTTTAGTTTCTCCAGTTCCTTCATCCGATAGCGTTCCTCAGCCGCATGGATTAAGTCGTAGCCATATTTTGCCTTTTCTGTTGGATTTTCCTCCATCAGTTTCCCAATTTTCTATATGCGTAAATAATAGAATTTTTTTTAATCAATTCACCCCAAGCAAGGTGATAATGCCACTAAGACACAAGTGGGCACTGGGATTGAAAGAGAACGAGAAGACATCAGAAAGAACCGAAAACCCAATCATAAAGAGGAAACAAGGGATAAACCTCTACTCTTGTTCAAGAGAGTAGAGAGGAGTGTGAACGGAATGATAGGCGAACCTATCTACTTCTATTGATGGGGAAAATAAATAAGTAAATAGTAAATAAAAATTACGTGGAGACGTTAGAAGTATAGAGTTGAAGTAGACATTATAAGGAACCGGAAACTTAATCCTCATCAGAAAACGAGGGATAAACCTCAACCCCGTTTCAAGAGGCCAGGGAGGAGTGTGAACCGGGCAATAGGTGAACCTATCTACTCCTATTGAAGGGATCAATAAATAAATAAAATTCGGGGGATGTTAGAAATATAGAGTCGAAGTAGACTTTAGAAGGAACCGGTGTTTACATCTAGTAAAAACCATGCTACTTACATAGAGTTGAATCACCCTCATTTCCTCCTTATTCCAAATATATGAAAAAAGTTCAACTCATTTTTCTTTCCTCAAGAAATTCTCCTTTGCGGTAGAGATTTCCACATGGATGCTTCTCTAAAAACTGCAATTTATTTCCTATAAAAAGTAAAGATTGCAAGCCTGTCTCTAATCTATCGCTATTTCCATGGTAAACCTTCAGATCCGTTCCATTCTTTTGTCCCACCAGTTCAGACCATTACATTTAAGACAAGCCATGCTACTTCCACAGTGTCGAATCACCCTCATTTCCTCTTTATTCCAAATATACAAAGAAAGTTCCACTCAAGTTTTTTCCCCCAAGAAATATCACATTGTGCAAGAGATTTCCGGATAGATGCTTCCCTAAAAACTACAATCTTAACCTCTTCAAGTTACTTTTACTTTGTTCCTGGATTGGATCGTTTATGTTTTCATCTACAAGTGTTTACTTGGAAACTTGTGGACTGCCACTACAGAATCACAAACAAAGAATTTAGTTTAATCTTAGGATTAACGATAATCTCTCCGACATAAATCCAAGGATTAATTCTTAATTGCAAGACGTTACTGCACTTCAACACCTGCATTTTTTTAATCACAGACGAAAACAAAAGAATTAGTTGTATTACAAGTTTGAGTATGTTTTTGGATCAACTAAGAAAGAATTTTTTTAAAATTTTGATATTGTTATGGTCTGGTTCCTTGTACCACGGTGATAGTCCAAGGTAGAACCAATAAAGAAGAACTCGAACACAGGTATGGAATAACACAGATATATTACAAATAGGAATATATACAGAGAAGTAGAACTGTTAGTATGAACAATCAGGTTTAGTAGAGAGAACAATGTAGTCTCGACTAGTATCACTATTCCAATGTCTTGCAATAATCGTCTGAACGCGACTCTGTTTCGAACTGCCTCTAACTCGACTCTTGACTCGACTTGAACTACTGACTCGATATTCAGTCACCCCACCCGCCACTGGGACATCATGTGACACAAGGTCGGTTATTTATTGTGGGTTCTCCGAGCAGGTGGGCTCGGCCCCAAAATATGCTCATTGAACCCATATAAACCGGCTCAGGGCCGGTTTACATCCCCGAACGAGACTCCCCCGGTCAAAAAAATCAGGTTCCTCCCGCCCGAAGGCAGAGAGTTCAACCGAACAGTGGGATCAGAAGTGAACGACTGACGATATTCAGTCACCCCCCCCACGAGGGTCATGTTTTTTTTTAACGTGGGCAATTCCCAAGCCATTAGGCTCGGCCAAAAAATAGCCCATTTGAACCCGTATAAAACGGGTTCAGGGCCGGTTTACCTCCCCGAAAGAGACTCCGCCATTCGGCGTAGCCTCCTTCGGGTTCCTCCCGCCCGTAGGAAGAGAGTTTAACCGAACAATCGCTCAGAAAGTGAACGACTGACAATATTCAGTCTCCGCCCCCACCGGGGCAACATGTGACACAAGGTCGGTTTTTTATATATTTTCCGCCATTGTGGGCTCGGCCAAAAAATAATGCCCGTTTGAACCCGTATAAACGGGTTCAGGGCCGGTTTAACCTCCCGAAGGAGACTCCGCCCTTCGGCGTAGCCTCCTTCGGGTTCCTCTCCGTCCGGAGACAGAGAGTTGAACCGATCAGTCGCTCAGAAAGTGAACGACTGACGATATTCAGTCACCCCCCCCACGAGGGTGTCATGTGGCACAAGGCCTTTTTAACGTGGGCATTCCCGAGCCATTAGGCTCGGCCAAAAAATAGCCCATTGAACCCGTATAAACGGGTTCAGGGCCGGTTTTACCTCCCCGAAGGAGACTCCGCCCTTCGGCGTAGCCTCCTTCGGGTTCCTCCCGCCCGTAGGAAGAGAGTTCAAACCAAGCAGTCTGTTCAAAAGTGAACGACTGACGATATTCAGTCACCCCCCCACGAGGGTGTCATGTGGCACAAGGCCTTTTTAACGTGGGCAATTCCCGAGCCATTAGGCTCGGCCAAAAAAAAGTCCATTTGAACCCGTATAAACGGGTTCAGGGCCGGTTTTACCTCCCCGAAGGAGACTCCGCCCTTCGGCGTAGCCTCCTTCGGGTTCCTCCCGCCCGTAGGAAGAGAGTTAAACCGAACAGTCAGTTCAGAGGTGAACGACTGACGATATTCAGTCACCCCCCCACGAGGGTGTCATGTGGCACAAGGCCTTTTTTTAACGTGGGCATTCCCGAGCCATTAGGCTCGGCCAAAAATAGCCCATTTGAACCCGTATAAACGGGTTCTGGGCCGGTTTACCTCCCCGAAGGAGACTCCGCCCTTCGGCGTAGCCTCCTTCGGGTTCCTCCCGCCCGTAGGAAGAGAGTTAAACCGAACAGTCAGTTCAGAGGTGAACGCCTGACGATATTCAGTCACCCCCCCACGAGGGTGTCATGTAGCACAAGGCCTTTTTAATGTGGGCATTCCCGAGCCATTAGGCTCGGCCAAAAAATAGCCCATTTGAACCCGTATAAACGGGTTCTGGGCCGGTTTTACCTCCCGAAGGAGACTCCGCCCTTCGGCGTAGCCTCCTTCGGGTTCCTCCCGCCCGTAGGAAGAGAGTTGAACCGAACAGTCAGTTCAGAGGTGAACGACTGACGATATTCAGTCACCCCCCACGAGGGTGTCATGTGGCACAAGGCCTTTTTAACGTGGGCATTCCCGAGCCATTAGGCTCGGCCAAAAAATAGCCCATTTGAACCCGTATAAACGGGTTCTGGGCCGGTTTACCTCCCGAAGGAGACTCCGCCCTTCGGCGTAGCCTCCTTCGGGTTCCTCCCGCCCGTAGGAAGAGAGTTGAACCGAACAGTCAGTTCAGAGGTGAACGACTGACGATATTCAGTCACCCCCACGAGGGTGTCATGTGGCACAAGGCCTTTTTAACGGGGCATTCCCGAGCCATTAGGCTCGGCCAAAAAATAGCCCATTTGAACCCGTATAAACGGGTTCAGGGCCGGTTTTACCTCCCCCCGAAGGAGACTCCGCCCTTCGGCGTAGCCTCCTTCGGGTTCCTCCCGCCCGTAGGAAGAGAGTTGAACCGAACAGTCGGTTCAGAGTTGAACGACTGACGATATTCAGTCATCCCCCCACGAGGGTGTCATGTGGCACAAGGCCTTTTTAACGTGGGCATTCCCGAGCCATTAGGCTCGGCCAAAAATAGCCCATTTGAACCCGTATAAACGGGTTCAGGGCCGGTTTTACCTCCCCGAAGGAGACTCCGCCCTTCGGCGTAGCCTCCTTCGGGTTCCTCCCGCCCGTAGGAAGAGAGTTTAACCGAACAGTCGCTCAGGAGGTGAACGACTGACGATATTGAGTCACCCCCCCACGAGGGTGTCATGTGGCACAAGGCCTTTTTAACGTGGGCATTCCCGAGCCATTAGGCTCGGCCAAAAAATAGCCCATTTGAACCCGTATAAACGGGTTCAGGGCCGGTTTTACCTCCCCGAAGGAGACTCCGCCCTTCGGCGTAGCCTCCTTCGGGTTCCTCCCGCCCGTAGGAAGAGAGTTTAACCGAACAGTCGCTCAGAAAGTGAACGACTGACGATATTCAGTCACCCCCCCACGAGGGTGTCATGTGGCACAAGGCCTTTTTAACGTGGGCAATTCCCAAGCCATTAGGCTCGGCCAAAAAATAGCCCATTTGAACCCGTATAAACGGGTTCAGGGCCGGTTTTACCTCCCCGAAGGAGACTCCGCCCTTCGGCGTAGCCTCCTTCGGGTTCCTCCCGCCCGTAGGAAGAGAGTTTAACCGAACAGTCGCTCAGAAAGTGAACGACTGACGATATTCAGTCACCCCCCCCCCACGAGGGTGTCATGTGGCACAAGGCCTTTTTAACGTGGGCATTCCCGAGCCATTAGGCTCGGCCAAAAAATAGCCCATTTGAACCCGTATAAACGGGTTCAGGGCCGGTTTTACCTCCCCGAAGGAGACTCCGCCCTTCGGCGTAGCCTCCTTCGGGTTCCTCCCGCCCGTAGGAAGAGAGTTGAACCGAACAGTCAGTTCAGAGGTGAACGACTGACGATATTCAGTCACCCCCCCCACGAGGGTGTCATGTGGCACAAGGCCTTTTTAACGTGGGCATTCCCGAGCCATTAGGCTCGGCCAAAAAATAGCCCATTTGAACCCGTATAAACGGGTTCAGGGCCGGTTTACCTCCCCCGAAGGAGACTCCGCCCTTCGGCGTAGCCTCCTTCGGGTTCCTCCCGCCCGTAGGAAGAGAGTTGAACCGTGCAGTCAGTTCAGAAAGTGAACTGCTGACAATATTCAGTCACCCCCCCCCACGAGGGTGTCATGTGGCACAAAGCCTTTTTAACGTGGGAATTCCCGAGCCATTAGGCTCGGCCAAAAAATAGCCCACTTGAACCCGTATAAACGGGTTCTGGGCCGGTTTTACCTCCCGAAGGAGACTCCGCCCTTCGGCGTAGCCTCCTTCGGGTTCCTCCC